TATATATATATATATATATCAAATTTTATATCGCAAGACTTGTTATTAAAATACATGAAATTGCTGTAAACTGTATGATTTACAATTTTGTCTTTACTGTTACTATTACTATTTCCCAACGTAAAAGTCTAACTGGTAGACGCTGGTGTTTGATACTTAGAATTTGTCATGAAATAATCACAATTATTATAATAATATACTACATTAACAATAACGGAGTGTCTATTTACACTAAGTGCAAATAGCCTGCCTTGTTGGCAGAGGCTATTTACACTAACTCCACCCACCAATGGGTGATTGGGCTAGTGCAAAAGACGCTTATCAAAAATCATTCCAGTGGCGTAGCTGGCAAGGCAAATGCTTTTTGACGTGATCAACCCAAGTTCGAACCTGCCTTTTGCCGAACTTTTTTTTCTCCCTTTTCAAATCTCATATCACATCGGAAGGGCATTTATTTTCAATAAAAATGAAGGAAATAATCAAAAAGTTGAAAATAAAGTAACCGGCAGGGTTAGGGCAGGTGTAGGGAGGGCTTTATTGTCCCAAATAAGGTGGCATCCATTTAATGATTTGAATTAAAATTATAATTTGCACTCAATGCGTTATTATTGTGCACTGTTTTACAATGTACTGCAATACTGAGGTGCAGATAATTGCAACTATTTGCAATAAGTAGTATAAATAGCAGAAAATCTTGCTATTTTAACATAGTGTAAATAAAAACAGTAGCTATTTGCACTTAGTGTAAACAGCATATTGTTAAAAAATACTGCTATTTTCACTTAGTATAAATAGAATCCATTGCTATTTGCACTTAGTGTGTAACGTAGGGTTTGGGTTTTGTTTGCATTTCTTGTTCATTACTCTCATGTCTTTTATTTTGGAGTTTAGTCATGGGGTTCTTTTGCCCTCTTGTATTCCTTCAATTGGTTCCTTTGTTCATTGTGTCATGTTCAGGGGCAAGTTCAAGCTCAAACCGGTCCACAACGTTTTGCCACGGTTTCCGGTTTGAATATAATATACTACATTAACAATAACGGAGTGTCTATTTACACTAAGTGCAAATAGCCTGCCTTGTTGGCAGAGGCTATTTACACTAACTCCACCCACCAATGGGTGATTGGGCTAGTGCAAAAGACGCTTATCAAAAATCATTCCAGTGGCGTAGCTGGCAAGGCAAATGCTTTTTGACGTGATCAACCCAAGTTCGAACCTGCCTTTTGCCGAACTTTTTTTTCTCCCTTTTCAAATCTCATATCACATCGGAAGGGCATTTATTTTCAATAAAAATGAAGGAAATAATCAAAAAGTTGAAAATAAAGTAACCGGCAGGGTTAGGGCAGGTGTAGGGAGGGCTTTATTGTCCCAAATAAGGTGGCATCCATTTAATGATTTGAATTAAAATTATAATTTGCACTCAATGCGTTATTATTGTGCACTGTTTTACAATGTACTGCAATACTGAGGTGCAGATAATTGCAACTATTTGCAATAAGTAGTATAAATAGCAGAAAATCTTGCTATTTTAACATAGTGTAAATAAAAACAGTAGCTATTTGTACTTAGTGTAAACAGCATATTGTTAAAAAATACTGCTATTTTCACTTAGTATAAATAGAATCCATTGCTATTTGCACTTAGTGT